TATATATATATATATATATATATATATATATATATATATATATTGTATATGTATATATATATATAAAATATCCTATGAATAAGAAAAATTCCAAAAGTGGTAACACGATCGTCAATTTCTTTTTTTTTTTTTTTATATCGACTATCCTAACGTTTGATCGATTTCACTTTATTAAAATTAGCAATTCTTTCCTTTCGGATAAAATATCCTGAGGTTCGAAAGTAGTATTCGTTCGTGGCCGCACGTTTCTCGAACGAATTTGTTCGATTTCGCCCCTGCGAAACGTGTTTCAGTTTTGCGCCGATTGCGGTCGTCGATCGTCGCGGAGGAATTAAATGAAAAAACAAAAAAAAAAAAAAAAAGAAAAAACCCGAATATTAAATAATCAACCTCCGTGCGTATAAGCATAATTAGTTATCGATTAACTAAAGTCGTATGAAAACGATCGTTGAATAGATGTTAAAGAAAGTTTAAATAAATTGGTAAATAAATTGAGATTATTATGTACAGAGATTGTCGAGATACGTGTTAAATTCGCGGTATTGAGGTAACAAACTCGAGAAAAAAAAAAAGATCAAACGATTCCTTTTACGTACGCTATGTACAGCATCTGAGAAAAAGAAAAAGAAAAAGAAACGGAAAAAAAAAAAAATTAAGACACGATAAGTCAGATGAAAGGGAATAATAGACGGAATCGTTTACACACAAAAAAAATATATATATATATAAGATGATTCTCTCGTCAGTGAACTCAAAAAGTAGCATCTAAAGTTTAAATAATTGACAATTTCATATTTGCATGTAGATGTTAACGTTCGCGAACTGTTATAAATATCGTACCAATTTCTAGCGGACCAGAGATCATTCAATTTAACTTTCTTCTGTTAGAAACAGGATTATTAACATCGCGGTATTTAGGCAAAATTATTTTCGATAACTCCTTTTCTTTATACCTGAAGGCCAATGAAAGCTACAAACGTAGGCTTATCATCGAGAATGTTCTTAAAGATTGATTTCGAATCACCCTGCATTACTCAAAAACGTCGCTTAAGCATCTCCTCCGATGATAATCCCCAATTTTACATAGCGCAATAAAATCTATCGGTAAAGAAGGGCGAAATCTGACAGTCGTATCACGTATGACCCGTCATACGACTGTTACGATTAAAAACCACACGCAAGCATAAAGATTATCGATTATCTTTAGATATCTGCGTTGCGAAATAATTTTTCCAAGGAGGAGCATCGGCCAAGCGCAAAAATTAATTATCCGTGCGCCAAGAAAATTAGGCGGCCTCGTCGTACTCGATCTTTTGATGATGCCGTTTGTAATGCACGGTCAAATTGCCGCGTTGCCTCGCCTTGTACGGGCACATGGGGCACTGAAAGGCAGGCGGTTTCCCGCCGCACTCGACCATCTCATGGCGGCGCATCGTGCTCTTCCACCTATAACCTTTCCCGCAAAATTGACACCTGAACTTTCGTTGCTGCTCGTGCGGCACGCCCATGTAAACAACGCTCAGATCGCAAGGTTGGGGCAACACCTCGAACGAGTCGGGAAATACGACCTCGCGCGTGGACGCGCGTGCGCCACCGCCATTATCGTTTCCACTGTCGTAGCTGTTACTGTCCCAAGTGTTGCTCACGCGTCTGCTCGCTAGAACGATACCGCCTCTCGTCGTTGTGGTGGTCGACGTGCTCGATGACGAAGGCCGAGTCTTCTTGCTGGCGTGTTGCTGCTGCTGTTGTTGCTGCTGCTGCTGTTGTGGCTGTGACTGCTGCTGCTTACAATCCGACCGTAACAACGACAGCAATGCAACCATTCCTGCAACAGGTCCCGACGCCAAGCGAGACGCGAGATCGTGGTAAGAGGTTATTCTTCCAATGAATGAAAAGAAATTTCTTTTTTGGGGGGGGGAGGGGAGAAACGAAAAAAAGAAGGGAGAGAAAAAAAAAGATCCGCGAATTTAAAAAAAAAAAAAGAAAAATTGACGGTAATGGAGGGGAAAAGATGGGATGCATATGTATAAAATATAAACGTGGAACGAACGGTGGTGCGAAATCTTTTTCTTTTTTTTTTTTCCTTTTTTCTTTTTCTTTTTATTTTAGTCTTCCCGTTTTCGATGCACGAATATAATAAGTTATAATGGCGGCAAGAGAGATCAGTGAGATTAAACCCGTAACCAACCCAACACATAACGTATCAGCCAATAGCCCCGAGAAATAAGTGCGCCCAGTGGTTTAAAATTTTTTGCCGTGTTTACGTGAATAGGCGTGAGTTGTTTGTAAAGAGGTTGCGAAGAGAGATCGAGAGACCGAGAAATATTGCTAGTAGTTGTAGTAGTAGTAACTTGAAAAGCTTAGAGTATGGTTGGTTAATTTTATGGACCAATGATTACCATGACACGTATCGTCTCTCCATCCTCTTCGACCCTCGTTTTTCTTATCGATGAAAAGATGCCAATTTCCAACCCTTCACAATAAGATAATCAAAAAAAAAACCAAAAAAAAAAAAANANA